TACCGAGCTAGGATTTGACTCACTCCTTTTTGCAGACATTGATTATCAAGGTAGAGCTAAATGCAAAGATGAGAAGGCCATGTAGATTATTAAGGCTTGGGATTCCATTTTAAAACATCAACTTTATTAAGAGAAGTAGTCCTAACTCTCATAAATTGGTCTATCTTTTCATCTTGATTCGATATGAGATTTATCCCTTAATATATCACCGCAAGATGATGGCTCGTTTAAGCAGATCAATATTAAAATCTACGTGTTTATTTTTTTGAGTTTTAATCGAACTGAATTGCATGTTGGAGTCTAATGGGCTCTAATACTATATTAAGACTTGGGATTCCATCTTAACATGTCAACCTTATTAAGATGAGTAATTCAAGCCCTTATAAATTGGTCTATATTTTCATCTTTATTTGATGTAAAATTTCATCCCATAACAGAGTTTTTGGAGGGGTACCAGATATCTCAGTTCATCTTCCAAATATTTACAGGGATATTCTCCATACATTATGAGCTACCTGATGGTTTCACATTTGAAATAAATGACGTTTTCCCTTTCATTAAGGATGATGATCTACTCTTCGATTATAATGTTGAAGAACAAGTGAACGATTTTAGGGCAGCTGCCTTACTACAGGCCAAGGTAACAAGGACAAATCACATAATGTGGATTATGGGAACATATTGTCACTATCAATATACAATTTCATGTGTTTAGGCAGATGGACCAGTTTATTCATTATGTCAACATGGATGAGCATGTTAACGCTCTATATTCAACAACTTCCATTTACCTAGATGCAAAACATGCAGCATATGAGCAGTGGCATCATAAAACTGGTGAATTTTTCCAGTATGTAGACCGTGAAAATGCATATGGACAGGGACTTTACCAGTAGACCAGCATTAAAAATATATGTTAAGAGAGATGAGTGCTTATGTATGCCATTCAACCATAGTTGAGTTCGCATATCATCTTCGTGGATATAGAAACAACAAATCTGCCATAAGAATAGGGTCAATGACAGGGTTTTATATAGACATGCACATGGCAAAATTTTATTGGCAGTTAAAAAAGAGTAAAAGAAAAGCTGCCAATCAAAAACTGCCATCGCAGCCCTTGGAAGGTTATTCCTAAAAACATAATCATAGGTAGCTTTTCCATGTGAAATAGCTTAACCATGTAAGCATGTGGTGTACAATTCGGCCTATCTTTTGACTAACTTTTACAAACAGTTCTTCCTCTCTATCACTAGTCCTTGAACCCTGAGTAGGGAATCACAATCCCAAGCCAACCAAGACAAGAGAAACTGGTAAATTCAATCCATATCCAAATTCTAATACACAATATTGAACAAATAGAGACAGAAGCTATAAGCTTAGAGAGGATTACATCTTCAAATTATGTGGAAATAATCCAGCAATCAACTTTACATTAAACTATGAAGGGTGAAGTTAATTCCGTTTAAAAATCAAAATCATATATATAAATTTCGAAAACTGAACATGTCCATACTGAATGTGAATGTATAAATATGCGGCTAGCACCACATATGGACTACAAAATCTCGAGTTTGCAGATCTACACAATTGTTGATACCATTAAAAGGCATTCCACGAGCTTCGATATTTCCACCATTCAATCCCAAATAAAGCTAAAACAGATAGAATCATAATACTAACTCTGAATATTCCGTTGATATGCAAGACTAGACAATAAAATGGACAAGATTTTAGCTTTCTTTCCCTCCTAAACGTTATCCAATATTGTAGTGTGCAACTTACTACAAACAATATCTGTTTTTCCTCTTCATCACCAGCCCTTTCCATTCTATTGAACAAATAGATTCGAGGCTCAAAGCCTTGAGAGGATTACAGTTACAATTATATGCAAATAATCAGCAATCAGCTTGACGTTTTAATTTATCAAGTCTACTTATTTATGTAAACCAAATTCATTGTTCAATCTACATATTTGAAGAAGCAATTCATGATAGAAAACATGGAAGTATGAAAATCCTTTCCATTATGTTGTAATGCTAACATATAGTCAAACTGGCAGTTAAAAGTTCATTACTCAAAACAGTACTAATCTACAATATTAGAACAGTAAATCAGATTAACAACAGATTAGAAAACTCAAAATCAATGGCAGATTTTCATTACTAATGTTATTTTTGAGGATTGGAATTTAAAATTCCCCGCGGTCTGGGGCAATCGACTCCTCGACTTTTGTCACGTAGTACTCCTCCATTTCAGTTTCCTCCTCTGTAGTCTCAGGCTCTGTAATCAATCCACGGATCCCATGAATCGCCAGCCACTCACTGTCATGCATGCCTGGGAATGTGATTTCTACTCCATTCACCATTAACGTGTCATCATCTTCATTTCTAGTAATCTCTAAATTGAATCCCTCGGCATTGTTTGGCAGTGCAGTCCCATTGCCCATCTGATTAAGTTCATTCCAACCCAATTTGCAAGGCACCAAATGCCTCATGAACAACGAGGAATATGACAGAAAATCCCCCGAAAATTGCACCAATTCCTCATCTACAGGCGCAAAAACAGTTAACTTCAAATTCTCTGGAAACCCACCTGTAAACCCCATCAACTGTAAGTCAAGAAACGAGGCCATTATCGAGTAACCTCTAGACTTCAATGCCTCAGACGCCTCTTGAAACCGTGAGGGCTTTTCCAACTTGAAGCATTTCGTGTCCCGATCTGGGTTAATATTTCCAGATATCGGGGTGTTTGATAGACTAAAATTCAACCCAAAGAAGGTGTCAATGGCATATACTAATACCGACCCATCGTCGAAAATGGGCGATATAGAAACCGTCACATTGTTGATAGAGATTTCAACGTTCTTCGAGTCAGGTGGAGTGGTGATTGTAAGGTGGTGGGAGGTGGATAGACTGGGGATTTTCGAAGAAAACGGGAGGGAGAGGAGGAATGTAGGGGAGAGCGAGAGAGGCGAGAAGTGGAGGAGGAGGTGGGAGAGGGAGGGCTGGCCAAAAGTTTTGAAAGCGGTGTCAGGTGGGGAGAAGATGGTGAGGGTGGTAGTGGTGGAGGTGGAGGTGGTGGTGGCGGAGGGGAGTGCGAGGGTAGGGGCAATGAGTTGAACAGTAAGGGACATGGCAATGTAGCCGGAGTTTGCAAGCGTCTCCACCGCATCAAGAAGGGCCTGCGGCGGCGTTTGGGTGGCGGAGAGAACGGCGGCGAAGAGAGAAAGAGTCGCTGTGAGGAGATACAGTCGGTGTACAGAAGCCATTGTTGTGTGCGTGGCGGGAAGCCGTTGCGTGGTGTATGCTGTTGGTACTTGTCCGCAGAAGTTTGTTAAGAGTTTGCAATTATTTATTTATTTTGTTGGATTGACGACTTTATTTGGCACGGGAAGCGACAAATCGACTTCCAAGGTTGTGAAAACTCTTTTAAATTCTAACACTCAATTGCGACGTACTTAAAAGATTAATTTGAATAAAGTTGAATTGATTTTTAATGTGATAATTCTTTCAACAACAAACGCTTAATTGAATTTTAAGATTAACTTTTAGAATCATTACCACATGAATATTATTGACGATGATTTTATCAACCGTCAATATTGATTCATCGACGTGTAAGCATCATTTATTGCACCTACATGAAGGTAAAGAAACATTCTCAAAGACCAGTGTTTGATAAAAATTTTGGTAGATTTTATGAAAAATAATTTTGGAGAATGCCTAATGAAAAAGCAATAAAATGAAAAAAAGAAGAAGATGAAAACCGAACTACACAATTAAACTCACATTCATATCTCTCTCACATTAGGCCCAAACAGTGTGAAACCCTTTCTCCTTTCTCATTCACTGAACCAAAGCTTAGCCAATCGATGACCATCGTGATGCCAGAGCTTAGCCAATCGACGACCACCGTGACGAGGTCGGCGATGACAAAGACCGAAAGCGTTTGGCGAACTCACTCCCATCTCTCTATCGTTTGAATCATAACAGCTCGACGTCAAACCAGCGAATCGTAACAGCCCAACGACGAACGCTCAACGACCGTCGTCAATGACCCCCTCACTGACGAAGACTCAACTTTCACTCTTGAAAACTCACTTTGCTAGACATTTTATGTGAACCAACTTGGAGTACCCAATTCAGGTATGCTGAAGGCAGAATGTTTAAACTAATTTTCGAATAATTGTTCTTGGAAATCCATCCATTTTGTGTTTTGTTCATGCTGAATATTTGATCTAAGTTTCTGTTGGGAGGGATTTTGCGCATAAATCTCGTCCAACTCAAATCAATGAAAATTTTTTTTTATCTAAGTTTCTATTGTGTTGTGTTTGTATTTGGCAGAGAATTTATCTTTTAATTTTTCTATGCATTCCAGGGAATGGGCATGTCTCAGAAGATGCCAGCCAATTCAGAAAGAAATAGAAGTGCTCCACTCTTACCTTGAAGGCATTGACAAAGACTCTTTTTTGGATCTAGTTCTATCTTCCCTTCCTGAAGACACCTGCAAATATGTTATGCAAGGTTCTATTTTCTGGTATTTGATGATTAGATATTTCAATATTGTTGAGTAGTTTCGGTGGCTTCCTGTAGTTGTATTGCTATTCAACAGTGTTGTGACTGCAAACTTAGCCAAATAAGTTGTTTGCTGGTGTTTGGTGATTAGATATTTCTATTTTGTTGAGCGGTTTTGGTGACTTCCTCTAGTTGTATTGGTATTCAACAATGTTGTAACTGCAAACTTAGCCAAATAAGTTGTTTTCTAGTGTTTGGTGATTAGATATTTCTATTTTGTTGAGCAATTTTGGTGACTTCCTCTAGTTGTATTGCTATTCAACAATGATGTGACTGCAAACTTAGCCAAATAAGTTACCTAGCAACAACAATGATGTAGGAAAATTCCATGGGATATAGAACAAGTCCATCGGTCTTCATGTATGGCGTTGTCTTTTCCAACCTCCCGCCACCCCCAATAAGTGATGGTGTGATGGTTTCTTCTTAAAACCAAGTGAAGAAATCTCAAAAGTCTATCAAATGAAGGCGTTAAAAAAAATCTCAAATAACTTCTACTATTGATATTAATATATAGGGATAATTTTCTTCTCTTAGTTTGGATTTGGCCACCAATAAGTAAACTTTTTAAAACAATCTGCTCAAAAACGTAATTCATGAGGTACAAATTTCATATTGATGGTCCACATTATACCTAAATTTTCAATAAAAATTGTTCACTTACGTCCTCGTCAACTGATTAGCAAAGAAGATATTGTAATTGAATCGACTACGAAATTTTTTATATTGCCAGCCATATGTTTTCCATTGTCTTAGTAATAATCCTCTCAATGAATGGCTGTTGTCATTGTCCTTTCCCATTTTTTCATATATAGCGGGATAAACAATTAGTTCATAAACATATTTTAAAGATACCAATTCAGATCGAAAAATTGTGGAAATCTAACAAGTCTATCAAAATGTTATTTTATTTACAGAACACCCTCCATAATGGCTATCTGTACAGTAAATAGCTTGTTAAAAACTTCAACAAAAACTTGATGGGACAAAAGTACCAAACAATGTAAAAAGAAAAAAAAACGAAAAAACGAAACAGTACCAGTAAGTTAGATTATTAATATGTTGAAGGTGGGCCCGAGTGGTTCGAGACATTATTACACCTACGATTTTCTGGTGGAACTAATTTATAATGCTAACTAGTACTTCGATTTCTCATAGAACTCATTAATGTAATCTAATTTTAACGTAGTTTCATGATAAGCAAGTATTTATGTGGTGGAATGCTAAGCCCATTATTACCTCTATGATCTTTTGGTAGAACTTATAATGCAATTTCATTTTGATGCACCTAGAACTCTTAATTCTTACCAAATTTTTATGGTTTTCCATGAAAACACTCTTTTCTTTCTAGGTACGAAGGAGAAATTAGATGAAAATAATTCAAGCGCTTCGATATTTAGTATATTACTAAATATTTAGTACATATAGCTTAAAAAAATAATAAAAGTATAATTTTCTAAATCTATGACCCAATGAATATTCCCTTCATTTTTTTATGCCAAACACACCTTGAATATGAGTTCATAATGTATTATGCCCGATGAGGGTTTGTAGTGATTTTTCTTTTTGCCATTGTATGTTCCCTTGCTTAAGCAAATTCATATTTATTACTTAAACATCAATTGTAAATAATGCTTGTAATGGCCCTAAGCAAGGGAAAGTGGAGAGTAGAATTGTAATGAATGTTACACAAACACATTGATCCTTGCACTGAAATTAATATGATGTCAAATCTTATTTTTGTTTTTAGCTTCATCCAGAATTCAAAGAGTAACGTTATATAATATTGTAGCTACTAAAACATACTTGTATGTGGCAGTACATTATATGTCTAATAAATAGGTCTCATAGCACCACATTTAATTGAGCTTACATATTTACCCAACACATATGTCACATATGATGTTCTTTTAGCATCAGAGGTGAAAACATTATTAATCTCCAAATGAGATTTGACATCATATTATTGATATATTATTGATAGACTTTAGGCGTGGATAAAAGTCATCAAAGTCATTGGATCAAACTAAAGAATCGATCATACGATGATGTAAACAAAACCTTGCTTTCACTCGGGTTTTGTGTGGATATGTAGGAGGGAATGGTCCTAGGTTTGTGTAGGGATTTTGTTTGTCCACCAGAACGGATTTATTTTCAAGTTTATTGTTCTTCAACAGTTTCATGTTCACTAATTTTCTTTTTGTTATATATTCCATCCCCGTAACCTTTTCGCATTTGCTCTACATTTCTCAGATAAATTGAAACCTCATCGTAGCAAGATTAGAAGAAGGAAGCAATGATTCCAAAATAACTAATAGCAAATACTGCTGCACAAACATTTACGTTTCGTGAAGTTGCTACTACTACAAAAAATTTTAGGCCAAAGTGCTTGCTGGGTAAAGGTGAGTTCGGCCGAGTTTACAAGGTCCGTTAGAAAGCAAAGATAGGTAAATTCTCCTAAAGCACCTCATAAAGTAGCTAGAAGAATTTCTTTTAAGTTACATTTTTGTTTCGGTCGTCATGGTGGATTCCTTTTGTATAACTAACAGAAATGCTTAAATGGATAAGGGTAGTCCCATGTGGCAATTTTAATAGGTGTAACATGAAAAGAAAAAAGGGAAAATTGAAAAGATAATAAAATGTTTACTTTACTGTTGATGTATGGTTTTACAATTCTTGATTAAGTCTTGGATGCTCCTCGACTTTTCAGTTAAACACGTTCATTTCGGAAAACGTAGTGCACATATGACTGTTGGTCAAACTTATTGAAGAGTATGAAGTAAAAATCAAGGAAATTGCAGTAGATGTCATTTGTTGGGATTTCCACTATGAACAATATGGCGGATAAATTACATTTGCGGGATACAGATAAATTGAACATGGAGGACTGTATGACATGACCAAAGTACAGTACTTGAATGAGTGAAGTGTTATTCATACTCTGGTAAATAGATATGCTCTTAATCAAATATATGATCCTAAACCACTATTATATTCATCATTTAAAATTTGAAAGTGTTCTAGAATCGATAAATTATTTAGCTTTTGCATCTATATGACAATTCGTTTGGGTTGAAAATTTTGAGATAAACAATTAAAGTTCGGTTCTTATTTCAATCTCACAAAAGTACATTCCTTAAGCGTGACTTGAAGTTATATGCGTGGTATTCGTATACATTTGGTAGAAATCTTGATTGACACTCATATCTTCAGTTCAGATGTTTATGTTACTTGTGTAATGTGGACAAAACCTTGCTTTCACTTGCAATCAATCTATTGTGGGTGGTACTCGTTGCATTCAGTTGGAACTCTCGATACACTTGAAAGCATCCTTGTGGATTTCATATTTCGTTCCCAACAGTTCATCTATGGACACTTCTGGCTGAACTGTTATTCCCGACGTTAGCCTCAATCATTCTCAACAGATGAACCTGTGGATGGATAAAATGTCGGGACCGACAGTTCAGTTCCTGCCTGCCTAGCCCTGCCCTACTAGTAAAAAATGTAATTCCTATATCATATGCGTTCATATTTCGGTATTCCTTTTTTTTTTTTTTTTTTTGCATGCAACAATGTCTGAAGTGAAGTTGACTGAATTAGGGCTATTTTATTGATTGTTTGAAAACCATTATGAAGATTCTAACCAAAATGCAGCATCCAATTTCCAGTGACTTGAAGTAATATGGGTGATAGTTGTATGCATTTGGTGGAATTCTTGATTGATGTGGCCATATCTTTCGTTTCAATGTTTATGTTATGTGTGTCATAACCTTGCTTTCATTTGCTCATTTTGATATTGTGGTTGGTACTCTTTGTACTGCATGGAACTATTGAATGACACTTCACAACATGCTTGTGGTTTTTGGTGTATATGCTGCTAGAAAGTTTATATTCTCGTCTGACGCATTCATTTCTTGTTGTCTTTGCAGATATGAATTTCGAGTCTCTTGTTCCAGAGAATGCAAGCTTGCGGGGCCACATATCGCAGAGAAGCAATCTGCGTTACGGAAAAATAATCGTCGAACATTTTAACGAGCGACAGTAGGAAGACTTTTGCAACTCATGCCTTGGGTTCTTGTCGAAGGTTTTGAAAATTGGCAAAATTTGTTTTCCACTCATTGTTTCATTGTTGTTCTGAACAGACATAGAACACATTCAGCCATGCCCAGACAACCACCCCGTGCCAGTGCCTACTAAGAAGTGCAAGGTATTGCATCGTTTATCACGAATTGAAGAATTGCAATTTCAGGCATTCGCTTACTTTGCAAATGCTCATTTGTTGTAGCCAAAGGGGGCCACCACTCGTCACCTGGCAACCGTGACGAAGAGCAGGACATGCTACCTATTGGAATCGAACATCTGTAAGGTATGTGGGTCATTTATGAGGAAACTTGGACATTTTTATTTCATGTTTTGAAAATTCCCAAAAGTAGTACACTCAAAATGTTTCATTGTTGTTTTTGACAGACACAGTAGACATTGAGCCATGCCCCGACAATGACCCCATGCCAGTGCCCGCTAGAACCAATGAAGTGCAAGGTATTCCATCGTTTATCGAGAACTGAATTTATTTTTTGTGCCATTTGCTTATTTTGCAACTTTCCCAATTCTCGCCACTGGAGCCCAAGCAGGAGGGGGAGTTACCACAACGAGACGGCGATCAGCCCGACTGCGACGTCCGGTACCTACTACCAGGACTTCGTACACGAGAGGGAGTGCGAAGCGAAAATAGAAGTAGCTGCAGATAAATTGCCGAATGTAGCATGACGATGGGGTTGAACATGCTTTTGCAATTTTTTTGACTTGATTTAGGTTGTGAAGGATGTATGTTAATTGCCTGGATACTTGTGGCCTTTTAATTTATTTTTGGAATTTAAATATCACTCAAGCTAGTTGGCAAGCGTGGTGACACTTTGACGCATTCCTCGCATTTTGCCATTCCCGTGGTGAATGTCGTGTCACTGTTTACCTATGCTGACATTGTTGTATTGTTACAAATTGCATAAGTTATCCGATTGTACTATGTTACGTGAATCATACTTATGGTACTTCATGCCTTGATTCAATTTTTGTCAATGCTGGTACATTATATTGAGCAAAAATTTATTGTATGTGAACGTTTTACGAATATCCATTTAGGAGTTCATGGTGGGATTGAATGTTGTACTGCTTTCGTAAACTATAGATTGGATCAAGATGATGACCCATTAAAACCATCAAAGTCATGACTACCATGGTACAACTAATTCACAAATGAGTTTGAGTATACTTCCTTGTCATTGGTATGTTCTTATGTGGATTAAATGATGAGCTTGTTTTGTGAGAAACTGTAGCATTACAACCATGGTGCAACTAACAAGCTGGCAACTGAGAAGTACTTTGTTTCAAGAAACCAGATAACATCAATTTTACAAATCATTGAACTATTCAAGTCACTGCCAATATCATAGTAATTATGGTACAATGGGGGATAAATATACATTTATTATAATCAACCATCACACCAATTGCTTTTCAAATTTAATTAGAGATTGACTTGGTGGTTGGGTAGATAATGGAGTAATTGCTTCGTCCTTTCAGGATAATTATAAATACCATGAGATCATTGTTGCCTAAAAGTAATTTTGCAGCCAAGGTGTTATGCCACTTTGAACTTACCTGAAGAGCATTGTGACACTTTCAACGTAGTTGAACAGCATTGTGGTAAAAAATAGTTATTTCTATTTATTCTTCTTCATTTATTTTGTAGTTTACCAAACTCGAAGTTACACAATCTTTAGTACAATGCACGTTTTTGTCAACTGTCGAGAATGAATAAAACATCTGTGGGGATCGACAGTTCAACTAGGCGGGCCGTTCAATTTTATAAATTTGTTGCTTTTCGAAAATTGGAAATGGTGGGATTGTCCAATACAAGTGTCTTAGTTTAACATGTTATTCTAGATATTATAAGTTAATCATTTTTTGCAACTAACAAGTCCTTCCAATGCAATTAGATTGACATATTGAAGGCATTACAAGCATTGTCTATCAAAATACATTTCAGATGTTATTCTATATGTGTGAGACTCCCGTTCTGAAACAGGTAGTTGATATGAGATAATGGGTTCGTCCACCTCCAGCAATGAAACATTCAACTCCAATATGCATCCGCCGATACTGGGTTCATCCGCTGATTTTCCCATTGTTTTATTATGAGACGATGAGGAGGTAAGAGTTGAACACCGTGGTGCTGAGTTGGACGAAGTGTCAAGTGCGGAATCTAAGTCACCGAATAGCGTTCTTGATCAAGTCTTCGAGGTCAGGGGTCCGCTCTAATCACCGTCCGACTCGGATGAGTGGGTGGCTCATGTTCTACCTCTAGAAGTAATTGTCTCAGACGAGTCTGATAGAGAAAGTGGGGGAGACGCTTAAATTGTCGAAAGTAATGCAAGTGTGCAATAAATGGATGGCCCTTTTGTAGGAAATTATGTATAGTATTTTGTGGTAAGGATATTTTGGTCACGTTGTCTGTGTACGTGCAGAAACAGCATATCCATAATAGGCAACTGCAGTAGTGTAGGTTTGGAAGCCGCTATTGTTCCCAACTATCGAGAATTACAGAGACCATCTGTTGGGAACGACATGTGAATTGTCAGGACTTGATGTTGGTGTTTTGCTTGTTCATTGTGATCTCATGAAAATCAATTTTCCATTTCGATAAACTATCAGTCGAAGCTAATGGAACTTGTATAATCGGCTAAGTTTATAGTAAGAAAAGCGTATTCATCCCATTTGTAGTAATGGAACTGTAATGATATGTAATTTGCTTGCGAAACATAACGATCAAATTTATATTGGCATATGATAATAACAACAGATTCAGAAAATAAGTTAGGAATGTACAATGTTTATTTAAATTACATTTTCGGGGATTACATTTCACAATCACTTTTACACATTACACTTGTTCAAGTGGCTTGTGATACAGTGGGGTTCGAACATATGGTCCGGTTATGACTAACTTTCCCATATCGAGTGCATCTCCTTAGTCGGATAGTGGACTCGTATCTAGCTCGCTTACGTCGCGTGGGTGGTTTATCTAAAGGATGACGTATAGCTGGTGGCAAAATAGGAGTACCTAGGATTTCATTTGGAATAACTCAGTCCACTTCCCGCATAACGGGAGATATTACTCCCATATAGACATCCCTTCAGTATTTCGATGTATAGTACAAAGAGCATAGATCGTATAATGACTTACCACTTAGGGTAGCAGCACGAGTTGCATGAGCACATGCCATACGATTTAGTTGAAACTCACAACAAGTGCACGTGTTGTCGGAGAAGTCCATTATCTCCATATCGTTGTATATTCCAACCTAGGTCAAGTTCTCTGTCAACTCATGGGCTCAAAGCCTAGTGCCAACTTCAAATGTTATTTGTAACTCCATCCTCAACGACAATATACTACTGCATGGGGTTGCATTGGTTCGACGTTCGTAAAATCACTTCTGTATTGTTTTACGAATGTGCTCGACCAAGCACATGATTGGCAATGAATGGGCATGTCTCAACATTGAGTTCAATAATTTTGGGTTGTTGTTTGTCATGATGTTGTACCAGTCGCCCACGAATAGTGCTCGTGACCAGAATGAAAAATCGGCTTGCTTCAAATACCCGTAATATCTTTCGTTGACCCTACGAATATGTCTCATTAGTCTTTCGAACTCTTCAACCCGGTAAGTTGTAGCAGCTCATTTGAACAGGAATATTGAACTTGCGTTAAAGTGCCGCTGGATTAGGTTCTTTTCCACATGCACGTACAACAACCATAATGAGACAAAGAAAATAAGTGAGTAATAGCAGTTTCGATACTTCTTTTTCTGTCCGAAACAAATACAAGTTTATATGAGTCACCTATAAGATCTTTCAAGTTAGACATAAACCACATCTAAGATTTATTTATTTCGGAATCCACGATCCCCCACGCTAAGGGATAAATCTGTTTGTTGACATCTTAGGCAGTTGCCAGTAAAAGTGTATCCTTGTATGGACCTTTCAAGTGACTACCGTCAATGCAAACAACGGGCCTCAAGTACTGCATGTAACCACGAATGCTTGCACCAAAAGTTAGGAAGAAGTAATGGAACCTATTGCGCGAATCAAGTTCGATGTGGGTTACCGTCCTCGGGTTATTCTCACCTAAGACGTGATAGTATGAAGATAGTCTCTGAAAACTGTCCTCTGGTATCCCATGCAGCATGTGTAAAGCAACCACCTTCCCCCTACGTGCCTTGCTGTAACTTATTTGGACACCGAGCTCACGTTCTATGTCACGTGCAATAGTGCTCGGATCATACGATCTATTCGGATTATCCAATTTTCCCACAATGTGCTTGGCAATTATAGAATTCGTCGCATGTCGATGCTCATTACTGCGAAAATTGATGGAACATGTGTGAACATTACTGAATTTACGGATCACAAAGATTGCAGACTGCTTCACAGTAGAAGCACGTAACATCCACTTGCAGCTGCTGTCGGCGCATACAACGGTTAATATCTTCATGCTTGACCTGCTCACCCGAAATTGTAACTTGTCTTTCAAAGCAAGTGCACGAATTGTCGAGTATAATTCTTTCTTGCTGAAGAATATTTTCTTTTCGGCAAGATCGAATGTATTCACAATTCTCATCAATTCATATCCATCCGAACCGTTGGAATGTGACGAAGACTGCTCGTCGTTGACGTCAAAAGAAGTAGCATCCTCTAAACTAGGTGATAGGTTATCTAAGTTCTTATCTAATGGTGCAGTCCCGTTATCATACTCATGTGTTTCAAGTGCATTATTGTTTGAGACACTATGCATTCGATTCACCAAATCACGTTCCATGTTTTGCAGATCCACATTTTGTAGAACATCCACTGTGGCAAATGAAGGATCTTAAAAATTTACATGCCTTCCCATGTCAAGACTTGGGAGATCGGATTCCAAAAAATAACGTAGATAGCAGTTTCCTTATGCACTGATATGTACCAATTTAAGTCTTCATTATCGCGTATTTCGGCCGGGGGTATATTCAAGTTAGGGACTTTGAACTTCAATTCAATTTGAGCGCGAGAATCATCAATACCAAGTTTTTCCTTCAACCTTAACAAAAGTTCAGCTATGGTAATACTTGTTGGCACCAGAATGGAAGTAGTTTTGTCCCCTCTCCACTTCTATTCGTCATTCGTATGAACAAAATTTTCCCCATGCGACATGATGAATCTCAAATGATTACTCATACCTGAAATGTTAGGATCGAAATGGTAAGAATTCAGAATCAAAATGTTGACATTTAATAGCATGAAAATCACACTGCATAATACGTAAATTAGTACAATAGCAAAATGTCAAATCGAGGGTTTTCATCGTTTTGAAATGTCCGAATTGAAAGTAAAATTGTATAACTCGACAGTTTGTAAATGTCGAACTTGACAGTTCAACTATCTAAAATGTCGAGAAACAGACGGCGGTGGGTTTCTCAGGCTTCTTCAACACATCACATTAAGTGTGATAATTATTATTCAACTACCAAATGACAAAATGTAAATGACATCTGGGTCTTGTCATTAAAGAGACCTTAATGGTGGTAATGGAAGACATTACTCAAAACCTTAATGGTGATAATGACATTTTGTGAAGGATTCCAAAACCGAACAAATGAATACATAATACTTTCAAAAATTTCAAAGAAATATGCCCATGTTGTATTTAACATGTGCAAATAAAAAGTTATAAAAGTAAAATATAAATGATTTGTAATTGCTAACATCTCAAAATGGATGAAGAATGCAACACAAATATCTTCTTGATCAATAAAAATGAAGCAGATGGAGAAAATGTAGGGTTTCTTGTTTATGTTACGTTTTGAAATTTCTTTTTTTGATTTTTTATTAACAAAAATTCATATTAATAAGTAAAAATACATTTCTCCATGTTTTCTATATAGAAATTAAATGATCACATCAAGTCAATACTTTTCCTTCAAATTAAGCATTTAATGCTCCTAGAAATGTGTCATTAAGGGTAATTTCGACTTTGCACCCATAAAAAATGTGACATTTTTGCTCACAAAAAGTGAAAATGACAAATTTTTTGGAACTTTCATTTTTTGTGACATTTTTGTAAATTCCCCTATTAGGTATCTTCAAATGTGAAAAATAATTGCATAAACTCATTTTTTGAACCAAAAATGAAAAAACACAACTCCAACATTTAAGAATTTACACTTGGATCCCTGAGTTCGAGACTATATTCGATTTGCTACCTTCAATCTGCACTCCTTCCAAATCACAAGCGTAGCGCCGCAAAATTCAGCTCACAAAACAAATAGAAAGTGCCCACAAATTTCTGCAACCATTTTTCAACATGGCATTTCTCTTTCAGAAATTTCAAGAGGTAAAATCTATTGCTTAGCACGCGCAATACACACCTGATGTTTCATATGTCTGGGTGACTTTTTCATGTCGAAATTTATATGGGTAATCGTTAATTTTTCTAACTGGGTTCAAGAAATTGGTCTAGTATTAGCGTTTCACGAATCTAACTCAATTTTTTGAATCCTAGTTGTGAAGAAAAAAAAACTTTCATAGACTGGGAAATCGAAAATTCCTCGGAAACTAGTTTTAGATAATAAGAATAACGAGTCTCTTAGTATTGATAGTTTTTATTGAGATTTTCTGTTTTATTCATTGTTCCTTAGGCTGTAAAAGTGCTCGCCAAAAGTCCCACATTTGCTCGAGATGGAAGGCGCCTTCAGTTTGAGGCCGACATTAATCGCCTTTTTCTTTACACCAGGTTACTGACTTCTTTTATTATTCAATTAACGTTTTTATATTTGTTATCGTTATTTTTGATTTACTTGGAATAATTTTTGTGAATCTATTCCATACTTGTTTTTGGATTGCTGTGCTAGTTTTAGGCATTAAATGTTAAACAATTGTCAGCATCCATTTTTTCCGTTTATATCAAGCTATTGTTTTACTTGAGTATTTAGTTGATAATACCTTTTACTTGTGGTTAATGGCATCATGAATTTGATTGCTAAATGTTATGCTTCAAGTTTTGGCAATTGACTTGGATGTCAAAGTGAATCATTTGTAGATGCCTATAATCTAGCTTATGTGAAAATGTTCGATGCTCAATATTGAACTATACTGCATAGGATTCTATGGTACAGGCATACAGCAGACGAGATTTTACATTCTTTTCCTTTATTATTAATATGGTAGGATCCTTGTTATAAAACAAGCCATATATGTCTTTGGATGTATTAAAGCACATTTCTCCTTTTTAAATGTATATCAGTCTTTTTGGATTTTCAGTTTCCAGGAAAACCTAGTTTCTACGAAGTTGCAAATTTACTAAAGCATTCAAGATTGGTGCTGTAGTTCCAGATTAATCTCATGGAAAAATTCCTGTTTACTTGTCTATAGCAGTGTCCACTAATATGAAAAATATTCCACAAGACATAGGGAGTCAGTTTCTAAGTATATGACCGTTGACACGAGATTGGCATCTTATGTAAAAAATGCAGCTTTTCATACCAAATTTATCGATCCAGATGCTCGATTATGTTGGTTAATGATCAATAATATCCAAATGTCCACTAATCTGTCAAATATTTTTTGACAGAACGAATATATCGAGTGTATTTTCTCCCTAAGTTCATGGAAATGCAAGATTGCATTTATTCTCTATTTGAATATATAATGAAAACTGTCTAATACCTCTTTGATCCCTCACCTTAGTGCCCCATGCTTGAACCATGCATTTTATACACACAATCACACAATCACTCACACGTTGATCCTCTTCATGGTTGCACGCACATACCACACGCAATAAATACATGTTGATCCACAGTCCACTTCATCTAAACCTAAGCTATATTTCCCCCACACATTGATCCACTTAATGTAAAATCTTAAGCTGTTTAAGAGGGTTCAATTTTATTTATTTAGATTTTGTCTTCAATTTCATCCCATTACATGCAGTTCTAATTCGTTGGTTCAACATGTCAGCTTTGAAATTAAGTAATCAAAATTACAATACCATTTCACCAACCATCTGTGATAAACAGAGAAATAACTGTATCAATTTCCTTGGACTTAACACTGCATACGATTCTAATCTAGAACATTATTTGGTTATAAGTTGTATGCTTGTAAGACTCTACTATCTCATTTGCTATGTCGATTATGATTGTGTAAGTATGGCTTAAGAAGATGACAAATGCAGGGTAAGTTATTATTACTTCCTTTGATTAATTTCATTAAGTTTTATTGAGTTTAAGCTATTTTTTTATTTATCAAATGTGTTATCACAGTATTAAACTTCTAATTGAATTCTGATATAGCCAGTATAATGATACTTATTGCCTTAACCACACTAGCCAAGGGCCTTTTTCATTGTGTTTGGAAAACTACTTAGGAGAAATTCTTCCACAGAAGACTCGCAAAGGGATGCAGACAAGGCCACAAACAGTTCTGATTCAAATTTGGGAGCCTGTGTTTCCTTTTTTGCTCTGTGGAATTAACAGATCCATGTTTGGGGCTTTTTACTAGGTTTAATAGAATGACCCTTATCATGTTTGGTATTATGTGCTATTGTGCAGGAATTAAACACTTTTCTCTTTCTTATCAATAACAATAGTAATATCTTAACGAAGAAAATGTGAGCATGCTCTGTCTATGCTATGGGTAATCAAAGAGGTGTACTTATTGTCAGGAGTTTTCAGCTTGCATTATTGTTTTTTCAATGTTGACGTTTTACATATAGTGACTAAATGATTTAATTGGTGGTGACGTTCCAAACTTACCATCAATCTAGACAATTCACAGAGATCTGATCCAAAATAAAATATGGGACTCTGATTAAATGGTATATCTATACTGTCTAAATGGTGAGAGAACCATGAACTGGCCTTGTGTAACACATGTAATAAAGTTTTTAATGACAAGTGGCTTTTTCTCATGAAAAATTTCACTTTTCAGCTACAATCGTTTGGGAAAGAATGCTGATGAAGTAGATGCAGAGGAGATTATTGACATGGCTAGTAAGGCTTCGCTAGCTGAGCAGCAGAAATTGGTCCAAGAAAATATTCATGCTCAAATCAATAACTTCTGTACGTCCATGGATGACATTCTCCTTCCTGATCCAAGTACTGCTGATGACACAGTTAATTCACCTTCGGAAAAAAATACAACTACTCAACGCAGCGGTCTTAGTCTTGCTATTGGTAGGAGTGCTCCGTTATATGGTCGTCCTGGTGAGCCACATTTATTATTTGTTTCCAATACCAACAACTTTGCTTCTATTTTTTAGATCCCATTGAAGTTTCTTAGGAATATTGGAACTTGAATTTAGTATCCAAGTTCGTTTACTTTATTAGTTCTCATTTTATAAATAGGAATGGTAAGAGGAATAGTAGTGAGTTTCATGAAATGTATGAATAATGGTGAGTAGTAGTTATGAATGTCTGGTTAAAATTAACGTTTGACTTTGACTGAATTTATAAATTGTATCTGAATGGAAGCTAGTGATTTTTCATCCTGCTGCAATTTATAGTTTTAAAACAGCTATTTTAGTATTGTGTATATATTTGCAGCACTATATAGATATCTTTGTTTAACATCTTTTCAGAATATAAATGATGGCAATGTCACTAATTCCTTTCCATGAAGTTTCTGTGGCCTAGGCCCTAGCTAAAGTATATCATTGCTGTTGTGTATGTCTACGAGTTGATTATGTCTTTGGTGCTGTAGAAGTATATTAGAAGTGCTAAAACCTGACACTAATTTATTGCTTACAGTTAGATGAGCAAAAGATTCATTAGATACGTCATCTGATTATGTAAAAAGTTAAGGATCTGTAACATTTGCCTGTCAGTTGTTACTCTGAATGATGATCTTTAGCATATACTCCTAGAATTTGATTATTGATACATTTTCAGCACAGCCGTGCCGGAAACGAAGCAACTAAAGAGTTATGAGGTGTCACAGAAACTCAAAGATCTCATCGGTTACACTCTTGACATCAAGCCATCTCAAATTGAGCATGAGGATGCTGGGCAAGGTTTATACGTAGATGGTGAAGCTGATGTAGGTTCTGTAATAGCTATTTACCCTGGTGTGGTATACTTCCCAGCTTACTACCGTTTTATACCTGGATACCCGAGAGTTGATTTGCAAAATCCTTATTTAATAACAAGGTATGATGGAACTGTAATTAATGCACAGCCGTGGGGTTTTGGGGGTGAAGCTCGGGAAATATGGGATGGCTCAAGTGTTCAAGAACCTAGATCAAATATCAAGCATGCAGAAAATGGTTCAGATCGAATTTGGAAGCTGCTTAGTAAACCTTTGAACGGCACACAAGTGGGACGGAAGGGAGAAGTGTTGGAGCGGAGAAACCCTTTAGCCTTTGCTCATTTTGCCAATCATCCTGCAAAGGATATGGTCCCAAACGTTATGGTCTGCACATATGACTTTCCACAAACTGAGAAGAATATGAGAACCTATATACCAAACATTTCATTTGGAAATGGAGAGGAGGTAAAAATGAAGAAGTTCGGTACTTTCTGGTTCAAATCTTGGAGATCAAGTAGCTACGAGTCAGAAATCCCTATTCTCAAGACACTTGTTCTTGTGGCTACAAGAGCAATTTGTAATGAGGAGGTGCTTTTGAACTACAGATTGAGCAACTTGAAGCGTCGGCCATCATGGTATACTCCTGTGGATGAGGAAGAAGATCGACGAAGGTGGAGCTAGATAAATCAGTTCGAGTGATTCACCTTTTCAGTGTAAACTTGCCTCACCTGAGTTTTGACTTGAGAGCTGTAGTTTTTTCGTCCCTCATTTGGATTTTTTTGTGATATTTACTTATTACCATTTCAGTTGGCCTGTATTATTATGGCAGAGTAACTAGTTTTGTTTAGATAATATTATTGTCCACAGAGTTCATTAGAGATTGCTTTCAAAACCTCATAATCACAAGTGAAATATACTGTGGTGTTTGAATACTACAGAAAATCTCTTTGCAGTCTCTGTCAAGACTTGACGAAAGGTGTTGGTTAAATTACCATATGCATCTATTTTTCTGCAGCTTGCAATGTTTGATCCTGTTGTTTAACATATTTGGATATTCTTTCAAATCGTGGGCTTGGTTGCCCAGGCCTTTTTGGGTTGGTCCGACTCAGGTCTCAACAAGCGGATCGTAGAAATTACGATTAAAAAAAATAAATTGAAAACAGGTCGGCTAGCTGGCTCGGCCGGGAAAATGATGGGTGTCTCGACCTGATTGGCCGATTCACACATCTAGTTCAAAATAGGCACCAAAAGCTCGGGCATTTTGGGCTGAATTGATGGTTTAAGTTGTCCCAAGCACTTTTAATAATTTGTGGTATACTAGGTTTTATACGTCTCTCGTAAGCAGTGCATCAATGTTGCTTAACTGGAAACTTTTAAGGAACTGTAATGCAAGAGCATGCTTAAAATGAGGGTAGATGAGTGGGTTTGGGTGGAATTTTGGGCGTGATTATAAGTGAAATAGGGTGAATTGCATTAGCGTTATGAATTGCAGTTTTTTTTGAATAAGTGCTAGCAATACCCTACATCAATCGATGTCAAACTTGAGGTCTCGTGTTCGAAACGATTCTGGAGAATCATGGGGTGAGTGGATAATACAAGAGTATGCTTGAAATGAAGTAGCGCCAAGTGGAGTGACTTTAGGATGGAATCCCGAGCTTCATTTTGGTTGATATGTCGTGAATTACATTAGTGCCAAGAGCTATAACTTGAATAAATTGATAATAGTATCGTACATCAAACTAAGTTTCATCATAAAAGGTTAACATATTTACCCCCCGTTTGAGCAACATTATTAAAAAAAATGAGAATGAAAAATATAGTCGTTATAAGCCCTACACAAGAGATAAAAAGTCAAATATAGTGACTTGATATGATAGATAACGATCATATTTTTCATTCTAAATGAAATAAAAATGGGGCTCAAACAACCATGCATGTTTAATAGATTTGAAACTTCATGAAAAAACCAGAAAACTTTTGTAGGTAATCATTTGTGTACGAACATGAATTACAATTGTTGATACTTATGTTCCTTTCACTTTGATTAAGAACGGCAATCATCAATAAAAATATTGAAGTGTTCCTCACGGTTACGAATGAAGTTAATCTAACGTGGAACATTTTAAGCAGTCCATTATTTCTTTATCTTTAAGAAATTGCTGAAATTATGACATGTGTATTAACCATTTATGTATACAAAAACCTGTCTGCGGCTAAGGATTGTGACTATGAAAACAACTTATTTCGCTAATTAAAAATTATGTTCCAACGTTTTGGCAATCTCTAAACTAAGACTTGTTTTACAAGTACTAAAAATTAGATATATCTTTTTTAAATGTGGTGGCGACCATTCATAGGCCTGTTTGTTTTAGATAAAAATCAAAATTTTAGTATATTTTAATAAAAGTTGATAAAATGTGTGATTGAAAAATTGCTAAAAATTGTGGATCCCTGAAAGTATGATAGAAAGTAAAGTTGAGAAAATTTGAGTTTTAAAAAGGTAGGAGCTAAACACGAGCTTTATTGTTGTTGTCGTCGTCGTCTTTATCTAGTTATGCAGATTCTTGGTATTTAAGAAAAATAGAAAATAAATTGTTGTACAAGTGACACATCTAAACAAACTATAAGCGAAAACACGTAACCATAGAATCGAAGACACGAATAATCGTATCAAGCTGCATAATGAATCGACATATCGACTTCATGTATTTAGACCTACATGATTATTAATCAATGATTGCACTAATTAGAAAATTCAAACCCTAACTGCGTAAAGCTTTCAATGATTAATCCAGGTAAATAAAAAAAAGCCAATTAGAACCGTTGGCGGATTCAAATATGAAATTCAAATTAATAAAAATTATTGGTCAAGAGTTGTGTACTAGTCGCAACATTGTACATAGTGACATTTACCAAAATCTGAACTAATTCTCCCAAGCTGGCACGCTGCTGCCTTTTGATTTCCGTAAATCGTGAACAAGTCAAGTTGTCGAGGATTGCAACTATAGTTAAGGCGTCCATGAACAAGGGCTTGCGATTTAAGAGTAAACTTTAACATTCAATATGATATTAAAACCGTAAAACTCAAATGAGTATGAATTATGTTGCCTTTGTTCTTAATATACTATTTCAAGCAAAAAACAAATAAAAATCATTAGAATAAAAATATTTAAATTTATACACACTAAATTCAACATGCAAATGGTTGTGAAGTATGATGAATGCTAGATAGTGAAAGCAAGAGCAATCTAGACCATGATTCTTCCTAGATGATTGGTATGAAATAAATGTAAATCTACCAAAATTAAGCTACCCAAAATAAATTTTCGTTATTATTTATAAGGCTTAAAATTGAAATAAAATATAAGCCTTTGTTGGTGTTTTCAGATTTTTGTAGTAAATTTTGATAAAAGTTCATAAAACATATGATTAAAAAATTAATAAAAATTGTGGATTCAACAAAATATGTGATTGAAAATGAACTTTAAAAAACAATGGATCTAACGTTGCCGAAATAGTTGTGAAGGTTACTTTGCTAACATATAGCATGCTCCCACGTGTATATATAACTTATTATATATAGTGAGATTATCTAGCATCGATGGTACTTAGCAAATCGTCCAATGAATAAAGAACATCTTCTCGTCAAGTGATAGACATGAATTAATTGAACTAAGCATGCATAATTCGAATAGGAGGCCAAGAAAAATGAAACGCGTGCACAGTCGTCCTGCTTGATATTTATGAGTTTGATGACAACACAAGTTACTGTCTTTATTTATTTTACTACAATATAATATTTATTCTAATCTAATGTATTCAATTTGTACATAAACGTGTGTTCGACCTCATATATATATACACATACGCAATCAAATCATACCATACAATTCTCTCCCTCCCTCCCTCTCTCCCGCTCTCTCTCTCTCTCTCTCTCTCTCCCCACACACAAACACAGAGAAAATTTAACTTAGATACAAAGGGAAAAGAAACATGGGTTTTATTGATCATATTTTAGAAGTGTGCTCAGTTACCAGCACAAGAAAGAGCAAGCGCAAGCCAATGCAGGTAAGCAATCCAACTCAACCAGTTTTGCTCTATTTGTTTAGATGATCATGTTGTAAAAGGAAATATAATGTTTTGGAACTGGCATGCTGCAGACAGTGGAAATAAGGGTGAAAATGGATTGTGATGGCTGTGAAAGAAGAGTTGGAAATGCCGTTTCCTCCATCAAAGGTTTAAATCTCTCTCTCTCTCTCTCTCTCTCTCTCTCTCTGGTACAAGAAACGTCATCATGTATGTGGTTAAAATTGAAGTTTTATCAATCACTAAACTTTGTCCTTAAGAAAACCTCGTTCAATTTTGAGACGCAAGTGTTAAAGGGTAAAATTTTATGAAGTTACTCTTTTTGAATTGGATTGACTTTTTTAGATGTAAGCTCAAAACTCAATATACTCTCGGAGCTCAAAAACCTTATTTCAAGGCACAACTGAAAATTCTCAAATAAACCACCATTTTATAAGGTAGCATCAAATATTGCTTGAATATGATTACAGTAATAACATATAATGTACATACGTTGTCAATTTATACTATTATCTGTCGATATCATTAATTACATGTTTTGTTTCTATTATAGGTGTAAGATCAGTTGACGTAAACAGAAAACAAAGTCGGGTAACAGTAAGTGGTTACGTGGAGCCAAACAAGGTCTTAAATAAAGTTAAGAGCACAGGAAAGAAAGCTGAATTTTGGCCATATGTTGAATACAATTTGGCATCTTATCCATATGCTCCTGGAGCCTATGACAAAAAGGCACCTTCTGGGTATGTTAGAAATGTTGCACAGGCATTTCCAAGCGCTAATGCTCCAGATGAGAAGTACACGACAATTTTCAGTGATGAAAATGTTAATTCATGTTCGATTATGTGATGTGATGATTTGTAATTAATTTTTGTAGGTTTAATTATATATTTATTTAGGTTTTGATTAGGGTTAGTCACAAGGAAGATTTTAATTTTGTTAGTGATTTGCGTTTTAAAAAAGTTGTTAGTGGTTTTGTTGTAGAATGAGCTCGTTATAATATATAATATATGGT